CCAGACAAACCTTATTGCATTCTTTGACCAAGTGACAAAATTAGTGGACCAGAGGAATGCTGTGGATATAATTTACTTGGACTTCAGTAAGGCATTTGACAAAGTAGATCACAACCTACTACTTGATAAGATAGAAAAATGTGGGTTAGACAGCATCACCACCAGATGGATCCGTAGCTGGCTGACCGGCCGTACTCAGTGTGTGGTCCTCAATGGAATCACATCTACATGGAGGAAAGTGTGTAGTGGGGTGCCCCAGGGCTCTGTTCTGGGCCCAGCGCTCTTCAACATCTTCATCAATGATTTGGACGAGGGGATAGATGTGGAACTCATCAAATTTGCAGACGACACCAAGCTGGCAGGAATAGCCAACACTCCAGAAGACAGGCTTAGGATACAGGAGGATCTGGACAGACTTGAACACTGGGCGCTATCTAACAAAATGAAATTCAATGGTGAAAAAAGTAAGGTTCTACATTTAGGCAAGAAAAACCAAATGTATAGGTATAGTACAGAGGGTACCTTGCTCAATAGTAGTAACTGTGAGAGGGATCTCGGAGTCCTAGTGGACAATCATTTAAATATGAGCCAGCAGTGTGCTGCAGCTGCCAAAAAGGCCAACACAGTGCTAGGCTGCATTAACAGAGGGATAGAATCAAGATCACGTGAAGTATTAATACCACTCTACAATGCCTTGGTAAGGCCACACTTGGAATACTGCATCCAGTTTTGGTCACCACGATGTAAAAAAGATGTTGAGACTCTAGAAAGAGTACATAGAAGAGCAACAAAGATGATTGGGGGACTGGAGGCTAAAATATATAAGGAACGGTTGCTGGAATTGGGTATGTCTAGTTTAACAAAGAGAAGGACGAGGGGGGACATGATAGCAGTGTTCCAATATCTCAGGGGCTGCCACAAAGAAGAGGGAGTCAAGCTATTTTCCAAAGCGCCTGAAGGCAGGACAAGAAGCAACGGATGGAAACTAACCAAAGAGAGAAGCAACCTAGAACTAAGGAGAAACTTCCTGACAGTTAGAACAATTAACCAGTGGAACAACCTGCCTCCAGAAGCAGTGAATGCTCCAACACTGGAAGTTTTTAAGAAGAAACTGGACAGCCATTTGTCCAAAATGGTATAGGGTTTCCTGCCTGAGCAGGGGGTTGGACTTGATGACCTCTAAGGTCCCTTCCAACATCATCATCATCATCATCATCATCATCATCATCATCATCATCATCATCATCATCATCATTATTATTATTATTATTATTATTATTATTATTATAGTGGTTTTTTGATGAATAATCTTAGTAACTGTTATATGCTTCTGACTTTTCTGGGGTAACTGAGCCAGCTAGATTATGTTGCGATTAAATAGAATTACTTGTAAAGTTTAAATGTCATTCCCTAAACATATGACATTTCCAAAAGTAAAAAGTGAAATTCTGTGTGACACTTGGTACAATTCAGTATTCAATGTAAATCTAGGTAGCTTACCTATATATTATTTAAATACATATAATGACAACCAAGATTTTAAAAAATCTACTGAAAATCAAACGATCACTTCATGATCTTGAACTAACAATTTGACTACATGCCTATTGTTTGACTATGTCTTGATACTATTCAAAATATGAAAATAAAAACTTACCTCCCTATAGGGTATTTTGGAGGGGAATTTAACTGTATGGCTAAGGTAATGTTAGCAGAAAGCTGTGTGGGGAAAATCTTCAGTCAGCAATTGGCATCAAAGTGGCTAAGTGGCAGATTTTTCATGCCAATATTACTCTGCTTGTGGGGTCATTTCTCTTAAAGCAGCAAGATTGCTAAAGCATTTCATCAAGTTATGAAACTTATAAATGAATGGTGTCATTTGTCCAGTTGCAATGACCCTTATCCCAGCACACTTGAAAATGTACAGCTTTGTTTATGAACTATTTGATTCTAATGTGTCAACTTCTTTGCATGTTACTTTGATGCATGTTAAAATCCATTGGAAAAAAACATGTTTTGGAGGTATTTTAGAAGGATGTGTCTGCTATCATGAAAAATTTGTACTAAAAACTCTGTGTCTAGTTCTTTCAAAGAAGCTGGTGAAGCTTAACAAAAAAAGATCCAACCTAGAATTAAGGAGAAATGTCCTGTCAGTGAGAATGACTAACCAGTGGAATGGCTTGCCTCAAGACTATGGGTATTCCATCACTGGAGGTTTTTAAGAAGAGATTGGACAGTCATTTATCCAGAATGGTATTGGATCTCCTGCTTGAGCAGAGGGTTAGGCTAGAAGACCTCCAAGGTGCCTTCCAACTCTGTTATTCTTTTAATCTTAATAAAGGAATTCATTTAGTCTATTTAAAATGGGTGCACAATTTACGTTGGCTCAAAAGTTGCCATAGACTTTGTGTGACACATTGAGGGCCACACTATTAAAATGGCAAGTTCAGAATGTAAGTGGGTCCAATTTTGATTGTGAAATAATAAGTTTGATGTTCTGTAAGAATTGACATCACTCTCTGGAAAGTTCTAATAGGCTACGTTTTTGCATAGCTGTACAGTAATGTATTAAGGATGGGCTTAGCCCAATACATAATTATATCTAAAATTTTATTTTTATACTATGCTGCTTTCGTTTGTTTTTCCCATAGTAGCTGACAGATACAATATACAATGTTATTGAATTATGATATATTTTTACTACCATTATATAACACACAAACATGTACCCCTAACCTAAGAATTGTTTTAATGACGTGGAGAAAATGTGATCAAATCTCAGGATCTCAGATATCTCACACACAGGATGTACACTTTTCAGGACACATTTCAGGACATAATAACCCATCTGTCATGGGTTACTCCATGCCTGAATTAACGATAGGTTAAACCAAAACTAAAAAAAACTGTCCTAAGCCTTAAGGCATACAGAAATGTGTGAACAAGGTCACTATATATGCTTTTCAGTTCTAGGATGTCAGAAGCATAACAAAAGGTTTAAGTCTTTACATTTGTATTTGTTCTAATTGGATTAACACATGTGATAAGACATTTACAGGATAACAAATTCTACTCTTAATTTCAGCCCAAAGGCACGTCATTACTTATATGGAAGATGCAGTGAGTCAGCTGCTAGAAAGTAAGGAAGATATTGGTCAATATGGCATTGCCAGATTCTTCACTGAATAGTAAGTATATTGCAATCTATCAGTTTCCTTGTTTATGGAAAGTGGGGAGATTGATCTGATTCTCCCTCTGATTTTATACTAATGTACTCATATACTGTGTGCTACAACATTAAATTTCCATGGTAAAATACATAGTACAAAATAATGCAAAGATGAAGAAAATCAACCAACCTAAGCTAAGGTGGAGAAATGTATGTATAAATAAACAGTAGGCAAAATTCCAATGTTGTTATCCGCCCAATTAAAAAAAGTTGTTCAGAACGTTTATTATTATTATTATACAATGCTTACAAATTTGAGGTAAATCTAATTTTTAGGGAGGCTTTTCCATAATAAGGAAATGTCTTCTTGGGAGATTACAAGCAATTTCTCCCAAGATTTTTGTACTGGACAGCTTTATTCTAGCTTAAGAAAATGGTCCTAAATGAACCCTGATTTCATATAGTAGCATATTTAGTTTCAGAAAAGCTTAGCCTAAAGAAACCATTCAACCAATTTTTAATTCCCTAGTATGAGTCTTGCCCAGTCATGTCACTTGTTAATATCTACTAGAACTGGATATACATACATTTCAGAGAAATTAAGCACAAAACAGCTAGGTGGTGTAACCAGACATTAACTAGATTCAGTTCAGTAGAAGATATATCGAACATTATTTTATAATAATACATTAGCCAGTCCAAAGTTCTGGATGTGGGAAAGACATTATATTACTGAATTTGATGATTGATTGCATTTTACTCGTGGTCTGATATTTCTCTGATCTTCACCAATTTCCCATGTGAACAATTTCCCTGTTTTTGAGAACTTCTATATGTATAGAATATTGATCTTTACGATATCTCCTCTTCCTCCTTTTTCTAAAATAGCTGATTGATTGATTGTGTGCCATTAAATTGGTGTCCACTCTTAGCAAACTCGGATTTTCTCCATGAAGAATAGCTCATAGAAATATAAAATCTATTTTAACATAGGTAATATGCTGTCAGCTCTACAAGGTAGACCAATCAAGAGGCAGAAGGTGAGTAAGTTAACACTAGTTTTATTAGAGTAGCTATAGCCACAAAACCTTCCAAGTCTGAATATGCTTCCCCTCATCCGTCTTCACGTGAATTAGGAGGGCACCTGTCTTAAAGGTTTTCCTGAATCCCTATCTTCACTTAAGCCATGTTTATCTGTTTCATGGCTTGGTAATGGGTCTTCCCTCTTTCTCTCATTTGAATTATTTTTATTATACAGAATAAAAACATAAAAAAGGAAATAAAGAAAAATAAAAGTGGTGAGAAAAGAAGAAAGGAAAAAGAGAGAAAAAGAGAGAAAAAATATGTCTTCCAATCTTTACAGCAGTTGTAATGCTTTTAAGCTTTATCATCACTCTCCCTAAGGTTACATCATAACTCCTTTTCCCCCTAAGCCACATTTTCTAATCATCCAATTCATAAATCACAAGTACATTTTTTTCTGTTTTCAGCAAAAAAAATCCATAATGGGTTTCCAGTCATTGACAAACGTAGTTATTTTCTTTTCTCTAATTAAATAGGTCAATTTTGCCCTCTTTGTAAATTGGCTTTGTCACCTATCGTTCTTCCATTTTAGGTATTTCAGAGTCTTTCCATCTTTATGTCGTTACTGTGTAACAAAAATAAGTGTCCGTAAGTCTTTTTTAGTTGTTTGTCCATTAGATCCAACAAGAAAAGCAGATCTTCCCTCTCTCTATCAAGACCATCATTTATACCAGGCCTGTACCACATGGTACGTGGGTTTCATACAGCATGTCAAGCAGTCTTATGTGGCTCACCAATGTTTTTTAAAAAGTAAGCCGCTGCCGCCACTGTGCCAAAAGTTATGTTGCCAAGTACCTCCAAGCCTCGCTGCCATCCACCAGCTCCAGCTAGTTGCAGAACAGCTGAATGGCACTTCAGGTATTTCTTTACAGCCCACAAGTATTTTTGATATGTCACTGTGGCCTTTTCCCCTCGACATATTGTGCAAATCCATTCTATATTCTACATATACCTGACATACATACAGTCACTTTCTGAAGATATTCTCCTTTAATTTTGAAAAAAAAAAAACCCCAAACCTAAATAGTCCCGATGAAATAAAACCTGTTATCTGAAAAGGCTAGCTAGCATTTTTGTCTTCATGAAGATAAGATGCAGTGAAAAACACGGTGAATACAAATAAGAACACTTAAACCAGGCCAATTTCTGCTTACTCTTAGAAGTGGAATAATGGGGAAGTGAGGGGATGAAGTATTTCTCTTTTAAGCCAGGGGGTATGGGAGAGAGATCACAGTTTCTGAGAAGGACAAAGTGGAAAATGCCATGCTGCGTATGTGGCATAGGTTGTTGTTGTATGGTGAACATTTCTAGAATTCCTAACATTCCTTGTGGTTCCTAGCAAAATATTCTGCCTAAAGAAAGGCAAGAAGTAACGTGATTTCCAAATGATTTTTGTAGAGAGCGAAAAAAGAAACAGAAACCTACACTATTCCTGTATCTTGATCTATATAGATTAGAATGCAATTTGGACAGTCTTAAGCAGCTTCTCTCCTTCCATTTTTCTTCTCTTCCAACTGTAGTCTGCCTAGGTTACTTTGAATAAAAAAAGAAAGAAAAGCCAAGGAATTGTAGAACTCTGTTCAGTTGGAGCCAGAACGCTTCTATCATTTATTTATTTACTCTTTGTACATCTCCCAATCGGAGAAGCTCTGTTGACCAACCTCAACATCAATGAGAAAAAAGAGACAAAAGCCAATGCACAATATGAATAAAAACAACATCAAAAATGATAAACATGAAAAGTACAAAATAATGTACCCACCAGATTCCAGACTTCATTCATAACAAGCACTTCTCCTGTGCCAGATGGAACAACCAGGTCTTAAGTATTGTCCTGAAATCCAAAAGGAAATAAGTATACCAGATCTCTCAGAGGAGGGAATTTGTTATTCTGTAATTCTGTTGTAGGGAGGTAGGGATAAAAATGCCCAGAACTTCATTCAGAGTCAAAGATAGCATTTCTTTAAAATGGTTAGGTCCAAAAACTCAAAACCACTCTACCTTGCAGGAATTTAGTTAAAGTCTATCTCTCCCCCATGGATGTTGAAAGTCTTCAGCTACTTCTGTGATGTTGCCTCTTTGGCCCAAGCCCAAGATGTATAGTTGGATGAAATCAGCATACTGATGATACCAAATGCTATGCTGATGGATGATCTCTAAAAGTTTCATATAAACATTAAAAATAAGTGGAGAGAGTTAAAAACCCTGAGGTGTTCCAGAAAGTAGAGGTTTCAGCCAACCTGTCCTCTTCCTCTTACCTTATTGACTGGAGCCTCTCCCTCAAGCAGGAGAAAATCAGCTGTCAAAGAGTGCTCCCTACTCCAGTTCCAAGGAAGTGGTTCAAAAGGATGTTGTGGTCTATAATATTGAAAGTAGCTGAGAAGTCAAGGAGGTGTACTGCAGCCTGTTAGCCTGCCAAGGATCCAAATAGTCCTCTTCTAGGTTTCTCTGAAATTTTTAGATCATTATTTTTCTCTATAATCTTCCCTAAGAAGGAGACAGGTCTAAAATTATTAAAATAGTCAAATTAAGCAAATGCTTCTTGAGTTAAAAATACACCGCAGCCTTTTGAATATCCCCTCTCAAAAAAACTTTGATTACTGCTTAAATCTAGCCTTCTGTCACTCACAGGGGGCATTAACTAACCATGATGACTAGGATCTAAATGAAAGGTGGCAGAGATAATACTACAATGAGTCTTTGCCATTTTTTCAGGATTCACAGAATTACAGATTATTTCAAATCTGAAGCCCTAGCACTGTCCAGCTAGAATCCAACTGTGTTTGAATCTAACTGATTTTATTTGCCAAATGTTGTGAAAATTCTTCACAGTAACCCTTCAGATGTTGTCGAATATTGTCTTTCTCTAAAAGGGAAATGACTTTATTTTTATTTTATTATTTTTAAAATGACAGGGAAACAAAAATGAAGTGGGAGAACGAATGATTTTGTAGGAGACTTTTGAGAGTTTCATGATTCCATGAAAATCCATGGAATCATACCATGAAAAGAAACAAATGGATCATAGGACTAATTAATCTGGTGTTCTTACTTGAGACACAAATGACTGTGCTCAAATTATTATACTTTGTCACTTCTCTTTTGAGAAGTTTGCAATTCTGGGAAAGGGGGCAAAAGGGAAAAAAGAGGATGTCCAGCAGCAAAGTGAATATAATGGTGATAAGAACATCACTGAAGGATAAAGTTGAGGACAGATCTTCATGGAAAAAATATATCTGTGTGGTTGCTAACCAGCTTGATGTCACCTAATCATCAAAAGGGAACAAGTCATCTTACAAAAAGCTACTGGGCAGCATCCAGGATACACAGTAAAATGACAAAACATCTCCTTTTTGCCCCCTGAATCACCACTATGTGAGTTCAAATTTGAACTCTTATCATAAGACAGGTAAGATATGAGGTGGGAGTTTCTCTAGCAATGTCCTAGGCTTTCCCCCTTTCTGCATTTCCTTAAATTCCTCATGAAACTGAGCAGCTGCAGTAGATCTGTGAATGGGGAGTGGCCACTCTGGTGTAATTGGCTTAATCCCCTTAGTTGCCCCCTTATTCCTGTGGCCTATTACGATTTTGACCAAACTGCCCACAGATCTTCAGGAAACTCCCCAAGTGCCTTCTGAAAACCACTGGATCCAGTAGATATCTGAGGAGAACTAATCTGAGGTTATTTTCCATTGAGAACAAAAAGAGAATGGTCTGTCCATGACAAGGGACTAAGCTTGGTTTTCCCCACCTTTCAGATCGTATTGCAAAAACAGTTAACGTGTAACTCTGATCTGTGTTTAGCTCTATAAACTATAAATTAAGGCAGGTCAATGGCTGTCATGGCAGCCATGAAATCCTATGCTGCTCCAGACCCCTCAACCTGGGAAGGCACAATGAAGTCTCCCAACCACACTAGTTTGGGGGGGAATACTT